AAAAAAAAAAAAAAGCTCATCTATTTTAACTTTTATTTTTCGGACATTTTTTTTTTCGTTACTCAGTGATAGTTTAATTGTTATTCAACTTTTTGGTAAATGTTGTTTTTTTTTTTTTCCAAAGAAATTAACAAATTTTACTGTTTGAGAAGTCATTCAAAGCGTTTCTTTGGATGTTCAGCGGTATAACTTTGGTGATTACTGAATTACAGAATGTCAACAAATAAACAGTGTTATATCTTTTGACTAAACATTACTCTGTAAAAAGTAATTTGTTAGCTTTACAAAAAATAACGTTTAACTAAGGGTAATTTATGTATTATTATTGACGTAAAAAAAAAAAAAGGAAAAGTTTTGAATTTTTTTTTGCTGTTGTCGTTGGTGTTCAGCTTTGATACACAGTTGAAATCGGAACTGTTATATATGTGAAGAGAAAAAAAAAAGAAAAGATTACATTGTTCAATGAATATTTGGTTATTAATCAAATTGCTTTGTTTAGACAATTCAATCGTTTTCTGCCATCATTCTTCGTTTGTCCTTTTTTTTTTTCACTTTTTTATATTAAATTTATGTAAATTAAATCTTAAGAACATCATACATATATATAATCAGTGTTTTTTATTTCTTTGCAGGACTCAAAATGATTTCGCTGTTACTAACTGAACGAGCAATAATTTCTGCACTTTTGTATACATTTTCAGATGTTACCGGTATTGGTGACGACAAATTTCAGGTATAATAATCATAACAAAAAAAGAAAAATTATTTGTTTTTTTTTTTTTAATAATATAAATAGACATTCAATTTTGCTGTCACAGTTTTACATATCATTCTTACATCATCATCATCATCATCATCATCATCAGCATTATCACCCAAATAGCAGCAGCACATCTTCCCGTATTATCGTCAACATCATTTCCGTTGTTGACCATGTAAAAAAAAAAAGTTCTAAATTTTTCTACAGATTTTATTCATCTATTTTTCAAATTTTTTTTTTTTTTTTTTTT